CTGTGAAATAAGATTAACCTACGAAAGGTGTTTTGTAGCCATAAATTGTCACATTATTTAAATAAATGATTGACTGCAAATGATTGAAGTGCAAAATGTCCATCTAGTTATCTCAGTATGAACAACAATAATTTGCACTTATATCGTGTTTTGCACAATGGACTAGGAGCCCAACTACCACCCAGAGATAGCTTAATGTCCTCTCTGTGGGTCAGTGAGTCAGTTTTAATACATACGTATCAATTTCTATTGTCAGTCGAATACAGTACTCCTGATAACTTGACCCTGGTTTAACTTGTCACTACGACTTAAGTTATTATGCTGGCAATATCCCAGCCAAATTTATTTATGTATGCTTAACTTGCTACTCCAGATAATTTGTCAAAGAGTCCTTTTCCCTTGTTGTTCGAATTATGAATAGTTTAGAGTAATATTTACTCAGTGTAATGAGTGGCTGATTGACTTCAAACAACTCTTAAACTTTTATTTTATTCAATACAATAAAGAGTGATTAAAGGCAACTATCAAACAAGATGAAGTAACCTTGAGTTGTGAAACAACAACAACAAAATTACATTTGTGTAGCGCCTTTCACGTCAAGAGGACGTCCCAAAGCACTGGACAGACAGAGTTACGGACCCGAGCTGGGGGTTGGCGTGGGGGAGGGTGGAGGCCAGTGGGGGAAGCAGGGAAATCGAAAGCATGGTCGAAGAGGAGGGTCTTGAAACAGGTCTTGAAGGTGGCAAGGGAGGGGGCGAGGCGGAGGGACTGCAGGATTGGGTTCCAGAGGGTGGGGTCAGAGTGGCGGAAGGCCGCCCGCCAATGGTGCGGCCAGTGAGGCAGGGGACGTGAAGCAGGCCAGAGCCTGCTGAGCGTAGGGAGTGAACAGGATGGTAGGAGGTCACAGAGCTAGGGGGGAACAAGACCATGGAGGGCTTTGAAGGTGAGGATGAGGATCTTGAACTGTATCCGCTGTGTGATAGGAAGCCAGTGGAATTGGACAAGGATGGGAGTGATTGGGTGGCGGAGCCTAGTGTGGGAGAGGACACAGGCTGCAGCGTTCTGGATAATCTGCAGCCTGTGGAGGGAGGAGTTGGGGAGGCTGACAAGCAATGAGTTTGCATGGTCGATCATCAATGTAATGAGAGCACGTATGAGGGTTTTGGCGGTCTGCGGTGTGAGACAGTGGCGAAGCCGGGCAACGTTGCGGAAGTGGAGGAAGGCAGAGCAGGACATGATGCAGATGTGGGGTAGGAAGGATAGTTGAGGGTCAACAAGACCCCAAGGTTCCGGACTGGCTTAGCAAGGTGCAGTGTGCAACAATGGATGAATGGTGGATGCTGTCAGCGCCTGAGATGAGGAGGAGTTGACGGGAGCCACTCAGGAGGACCTTGGTCTTGTTGACGTTCAACTGGAGAAAGTTAGCTCTCATCCAGGACTTGATGTCAGACAGACATTCAGTCAGGATAGCAATGGAGTCATGGGTGGAGGCAGAGAGATAGAGTTGGGTGTCATCTGCATACATGTGGAAGTTGACCCCATGTTCTGCGGATGATGTCACCAAAAGGGAGCATATAGATATTGAAGAGAAGGGAACCAAGGGCAGAGCCCTGAGGAACGTCGCACGAGATGGTCCGGGGGCTGGAGGAGAAGCCGTTTGAGGAGATGAAGTGCAGGCGGTGTGAGGGGTACGATCTGAACCAGTCAAGGACAGAGCCATGGAGGTTGAGGTTAGAGGAGAGGCAGTGGATAAGGATAGAATGGTCGATGGTGTCGAAAGCAGCAGAGAGGTCAAGAGGACGAGGAGGCAGAGGGAGCCCTGGTCGCAGATGGACAGAATATAATTTGTCACTTTGACCAGGGCTGTTTCTGTGCTGTGGGAGGCACGGAAACCCAATTGGAGGGGGTCGAGGAAGGAGCGGTGGGAGAGGAAGGAGCGAAGCTGAGAAACTACAACTCATTCCAGGACCTTGGAGAGGAAACGTAGGTTGGAGATGGGGCAATAATTACAACAAATTGGTTGGAGTGATCCTTGGAGTATTCATAATAATAACATTTATGAAGGAACATATTCTGCTGCCAAACAGATTCTAATCTGTAAAAATTTCCTCTTCTGAAAGATTTCCTTCTTCCTTCCTCAAGGCTCACTAATTCCACCCCCCAAAGCATATTGTAACATACAAATTGATGTTCTTGAGGTCCAAGTCCAATGCTAAACACCAGAATTAACTCAACATCAGTTCTTTATCCCACTTCCCCACCCAAAGTTTTTTTTTGGCCTCACCTTTATACATCCTTGAAAACAGGATACATTTTTCAAGCAAAACTATGTTATGCTTTATTGCACCAATTGACATAAAGAATGGTTCATGGGCATACCTGTGAACATTGAAACTCTGGGGTGAACAGGCAGTCCAGGTTTAATTACTTTACCCAAAGAATGGCAACTATAAATTGACATATATACAGAGCCCTTCATGTCGGGAGCGCTTAACAATGATGTTAATAATTGATGTTAATAATCCAGGCACCCGACCTGGAGGTTAGACCTGAAAATGTTAGAGAGGGGAAAGATGACTGAAAGCACAGTTAAAGAGGTATATTTTGACACATGCTTTGAATGCAATATAAATGTAATTTTCTTGTATTAATATACAAAGGTAATACAGTTGGAAATTACAGCACCACAGAAATGATTAAAAATGGCTGCCATGCTCACTAAACTTTACAGTAATTCTTTACAGTGAACTTCTGCTGACTAGATAAACATTCATGAAATAATTACTGCCAGTTTTATGCTAATATCTCACCCCTGGATCAAGTTATGTCATCAGGATAAACCAGTTCCAAGGTTCTGAGAAAATATTAACTGACATGTGAGGATAATAAATCCAATATTGAGTTTCATGATAAATTGACAGTGAAATAGCCACCCGTATACAAAATATTGCTACTTTCAGGTAAACACGGGCTCTTCAAATCCGCAAGTGCGCTTTATTAGGGTGTGCGCAGGAAATATGGTGTACACAGGGATGATTCCTGACTCTAATAAAAGAAGCATGCCCAAAAACCTGTGCACAACCTGTTCTACCAGGATATATTAAATGTGCAATACTCATCTTACAGGTATTCTAATGATCAATTCACATAATTTGTAGTACACACCACATCATTCTCTGGATTGTTTGAATTTTCTTCTCCATTAAACTATTTTCTATGGAGAACAGGTGCACAATTATTTTCTATCGATTACTATCCAGTGTTTACCAATACACTAAAAATATATATTTCTTACATGACGTAGAATTGTGTTAATATTATGTTTGGCATGAAAATTGTGTAAATATTAAGTATGGCATGAGAGGTACAAGGTTGCATGCTAATAAGTCAGGTCATATTTCGCAGTAACTTCTGCTAAAATTTTTGGAACATTAGGAACATTAGGTTTCAGTTCTTTTTAATGTAAAAGACGGTTGATTGATGGATCGATTTCTGGGAGTAGTAAAGCCTCCAAAAACAAATTGATAACTCAAAACTCCATCCAAGACTGTATGGAAGGATTATTAAAAGGAAGGATTATTATTAATAATATGAAAATATCGATCTGTTGGCATCAATCAGTCCTGGAATCGAGGGTGGAGGCAGAGAGGTACAATTGAATGTCATCCACATACATGTGGAAGTTAACCCCATGTCTGCGGATGATGTCACCAAGGAGGAGCACATAGATATTGAAAAGGAGAGGGCCAAAGACAGAACCTTGAGGGACGCCACACATAATGGTGCGATATCTGAAGGAGAAGACATTAGTGGCGACAAAGTAGAGATGGTTGGAGAGGTAGGATTCAAACCAGGCAAGGGCAAGTCTGCAAAGATTGAGCTAAGAGTAGAGGCGGTGTAGGAGGATAGAATGGTCGACAGCTGGAAGGTGAGGAGAGGGGTAGGGTCGAGGGAGCAGGTGGTGGACTTCATTTTTGAAATGATGAAGGTGAGGGAAGAGGGGAAGAAGGGTCCAAGGTGTATAGGGAGGGATGGGTGGTTGCCGGGGCGTGGGGGGGAGATGGCGAGGGGGTAGAGGTGGACGGGTGAGAGGTAGTCGAATGAATCCCCTTGATTTTGGATTTGACGAAGTGTGACATCTCCTCGCAGTTGGAATTGAAGGAGAGGATAGGCGAGATGCGGGAAGATGGACAGAGGAGATGGTTAGCGGTGGAGAAGAGGAACCTGGGATTGTCCTTGGCCTCCAAGATTATCTTTGAGTAAAAGGATGATTTGCCGGAGGTTGTGCGGTAAATCTTAGTGCGGTCAAGCCAGATCTGTCGATGATCGTTTGGTCCAGGAGCATTCAGCAGTGCACGCTTGTGCCTTGAGGGATCAGCATACTGACATCTAATCCAATGTGATTCCAGGCATCCCGTAACTCCTGTAACTCTTGTCATACTTAGGTTGATATTTCGCAACTCAGCTAACAAGCATTCATCCTTATACAATACATTCATTATACAATCAATATTTTTATTTATTATGATTGTACTTCTAAAAATCAGCTTGACAGAAGCATATCTACATTAGCAACACAGTAATTAATTTCTAATCAAACAGTAATTCACATATCAAAACAAGCAATAATTTATATTCTAACTTAACCAAAAATAATTAATTTCTGATTATAACACGGAAATTTTAGGCAAATATGATTATTATACATTCAATGTTCAAATAACAATAAAAGTTACAATTAGATCATCACCAAACCCATCTTGGGTACCTGAATGGTAAGCAATTAAATGAAGACACCTGGAAAAACAGGGCACTTATATATTCATCAATGGAATATGCTCATCATGGTTAAATAATACATTTGGAACTTATATGGCTCAGGATAGACAAACGCCACACACCCAATATTAAAAGAGATTCACCCATGAAATATACAGTCAATTCACTCTACAGTATAATTTGTGGAGCAATTTGAGACGTTGTGAAGACTCGATAAGGTGCTATATCAAATGCAAGAATTATTATTAATTATCAGTCCAGAAGGGCTTACAGATTGCACTGCTGAAAATACAGCAAAAGGTAAAGCGGGCTTGAGCACTACAATAAAGATGAGCACCCAATAAAGTTATGTCCTATCTTTTGAACTGCTTATGTTTAAATATCATGCATTTATGTTTCTCTGTGGTGTCAATAACCTTGGAAGTAGATTTATTAGAGAATTACTAGTTTTTAAAGCAGTGTACTGGAGCATGGTGGCTTTCGATAGGTTATAGATCTGAGCAGCTGAGCAAACAATAGTAAAATGGTAAATGGTGGAAGCCAAGCCTTTGGCTTAGATATTGCTTTCTCTTTCCCTGAATTGTAGAGAATTAGCCTCAACATATTTAGAAATTGCATGCAGAGTGAGCTCTTTTGCTGTAAACGCAACATACAGCCTCACAAATTTACTCCCCATCTCCCAGCCCCTAAAATCGCTATGGAAGCAAATACATCTCTAAAATTTATTTCGCTTGGTCTCACACTCCTGAGAGTTGAAGGATGTTGTATGGCCATTTCCAATTATAGAAAGGAAAAACAGATAAATTAGGGGCAGAAAATCTAACTTAATTTCATTTACACAAATCCTTTTCCATAAATTGCTTTATGTCTCAGATATTCTTCCATGCACTGTAGTGCTATATCATCCACATCAGGGTCAAACTTGTTTGCAAACAAATGATGCTGTTGCAAGATCCAGTTAAGGTCGCCAAGTCCATAGACACATACTGCATGCCGATGAGTTCCTGAACATTTTGGATAAGGAGCTCCTTCCCATATGTTCCCCTCAAGGTATGACCATTTCACCAGGCGGGCAATGGATGCCATATCCGACATATGATATTTACTATTGGGAGGATAAGAGCCTGGAACTGTAGGAATTCTCTGTAGAGTAGCCCAGAAATGTTCATCCGGACTATAAGTGTCTTCTGACCATTTCATAAAGTTCTGGATTTCAGGATTTGAAAATAGATGGCTCACAAATTCCCTTGAAACTACAAAGTATGCATTCCCAGTGAACATTGGGGTTTTGATTGGAGGTGGGCTTTTCTTTTGATCAGTTCTGCTTACAGAAGTTTTAATTTCATGATGAAACTCCCATCGTTTCTGTATATCAAGGCAGAGAAATGTAGTTATCAACATCCTGATATAGGATAAGAAGATATGGCATTTGCATTGGAGTGATATAAAACCATATTATCTGCTACAGAGGGCAAGCTAGGAACATCAATATTAGGATAATAAAATTGGGTTAATAAGTGGCAAATAGAGAGAAAAAGAAAGAGAAAGAGAGAGAGAAGGGTTGACACGTATAGCTGTATAATAATAGTATGACTTTTGCTGGAACAACTTTTTAGTTAGTATTGTAAACGTGAATTTTGTTGATGTCGATTTATCCATACAGTTCGTTTAACTATGTTGGGACCTTATTTAAATGCTCTGGGACGCTCCCTTGGTGGTGGTGGTGATGGTGGGGGGCTATATAAATTTAAGTTGTTGTAATCAGTGGAGATAATTGGCTCTTTACTGTCCTCCCCATTCCCTGCTTTCTTCCTTCCTATATTCTTCCTCTTCAATTTTTTATCCAATTCAATTTCACTTGTTATGGCAAGTAAAATTAAAAATTGTAAGAATGTGATTCATGATTTAGATAATCTGGAAGTATTGACCTTCTTCTGCTTTACAAAATATAGGAATATAACCATATAACCTGAGCCGCCTCACATCCTGGTGATGTATGCAATTAAGCTATTAATCTTCTACTATTTGTCAAGTGGTGGGGAAAATGACACTCTTGCATACTTGCAGGATACATTAGTCCAATAAAGCAGTCGGGTGTTTTTAATTCTAATCATATAAAAAAAAAGGAACAAGAAAAAAACTCTCCTTTCATAGTGTGGAGTCAGGAAACTTGCCAAAGGTTTGGTCGTGTCCAGGAATCGAATTGGGGCAGGGACATTGCATAAATAAAACTACAACCGACACACCAATGGTCTTTGTGAAAGTTATTTCTGGATAACAAAGGATTTGGAAAGCAGAATTAATAAACCCAGTGACCAGGTGTGGCGGTGGGAAGCGACAGTCCCTCCCTCCCTCCCTGACTGAGCAAAGGAAAGGCTCAGTGCTTTAGCCAAGCACTGGGACCTCAGAGGAAACAACGGGACCCCCTGAAATAAACTAAAACAAACCAACACTTAACCATTACACAGAGGAGATGGTTTGCCCTCCACTCTCCCCGATCCCGACCCCCTCTCAGCTCGAATCCCAATCCCTGACTGTCCGGCGCCTCGGGAACGTCCTCCCGACGTGAAAGGCGCTGCACAGATACACTGTCGTATTGTACTTCTACCCTTTCAGTTGCAGTTTTGTGAAGTAACTGGGTTCCAGGCTCCCCCCGTGCCATGGTGGGGGGGGGGGGGGGGGGGGGGTCTCTCTCCAGCGGCACAGTGTCACGACCATGAAGACACCGACACACGAAATGGAGTTCTGTCGCAACGCGTAACGCATCTCCGACGCATCCAGAACCTCACCCTCTTGATCCCGGACGGCGTTTCCGATTCCAGACTGTTTTTCCCGTTCAATTCGATGAGCTTTCGGACGATCTCTGCGTTGGTTTTGATTGGGAAATCCATGCCGCACAAATTCAGGAGGTACTTCCATTGCACTTGACTCTTGAGCAGATCTTCCATACAGTTCAGATCCGCCTGGACCCGAGACCACGAAGCGTAGACGACATCTTCTAATTTGCGGGTCAGGAAAACATTAGCGAAACACGAAGCGACGGCTCGGACGGCCAGAAAGAACTTTCCCGAGGATTTCCTATCCACGTGGATGCAGTACACGTTCTGGGGGGTGTAGATGCCTCTCAGTAGCCTTTCAAACATCTCGACGTTCTCGTGGATCACAATCGAAAAGGCAATCGGGAAAACCTTCTCCTCTTCGCTGAGCGGAAAGGTCACATATTTGCGCGTTCTCTTGAAAGCCACGCAATCGCTCGTCATGTTTAAGTAGTCGTTTTCTGTTACTCTCGTCGCTCTCGGTGAGCCGTCGGGTTTATTCGGGGGAGTGTGCGGGATGGCTGTGCCATTGCCCCCGATGGTCTCTGAGCAGACAGAGCCCTGATCCGACAGGTGCAGCGATTTGTAGTAATAGTACCTGAGTTCTTTGTTGGTTGGATCTCCAAATTCTTCCCAATTTCCCTGGAACGATTTTCTGCACAGGAGAAGATTCCTCGTAACAAAGAATGCACCCGAGCACAAGACAGTCAACGTGACTAACTTGAGCAGAAATCTTGTCCACCTCTTCATGCTCAACCCTTCTGGCTCTCTTCGAACTTTTTTTCCTACCAATCAATTTGCAAATCCTCGTGCTGATTAGTATTCAGCATTATTATTAAACTGCAACCGTTTGTGAAAGCCGTAAAGTGCATCTGTTCAAATATTATCGATCGCTTTGTTCCTTTTCAAATCCAATTTTATCCAATCTAATCTCTGCAGAAATAAAAAAAAATGCCGCTGTCTTGGTCTGACTCACCACAATTCTGGAAAGGAAGTTTCTGTTGGGTAGATAAGCATTGGTGGTGTATCAGTACTGCCTCTTTTATGCAAATATCTCACCTCCTGGAGCACATTATACCACCAGGATAAACCAGTTCCAAGGTTATGACACAATATTAACTGACATGTGAGGATTATAAATCCAATATTGAGTTTCATGATAAATTGACAGTGAAATAGCCACCCGTATACAAAATACTGCTACTTTCAGGTAAACACGGGCTCTTCAAATCCGGGCGCCTTCCGAAAGCGGCAAGTGCGCTTTATTAGGTTTTGCGCGGGGAGACACATGATTTTGCGGGTGTACACAGGGATGATTTCTGACTGCGATAAAAGGAGCGCATCCATAAAACTTGCACAACCTGGACTCGGTGAAGGAATGTACTTTTGAACCTTTGGAAGAAAAGAACAAAATTGTGGAAGATGCTGTGTTTTGGGTTTCTGAGGTACTAGATATTATATTTATAAATAAATATATATTTTTCAAAAGAAAGTAAACACAGGCTCTTTAGGTTTTTAAGAGTTGAAAGCATTTGATGTTGAGGATGGTTTGTAGTTATTTTGTGAATTGAAGCACTTTAAATTATTTCGTAGAATGAATGATAGAATGTTGCAACACAAAAATGTTGCTCATCAAGTCTCTATTGGCATTTTTTTCCACGTGTGAACCATCTGATCTATTTCTGCTCTCCTGCTCACTCCCCCAAACCAATCTTTCAAAAGAATTCAGGTATTATTCTTGAACTGCAGAATAAATTAATAATTTTTTTGTAACATCAGGAACATTAGGTTTCAGTTCTCTTTAATTTAAAAGATGGTCGATTGATGGATCAATTTCTGGGAGTAGTAAAGCCTCCAAAAACAAATTGATAAGTCAAAACTCAATCCAAGACTGTATGTGGGGCACTGCCTTGCACAATTAGCTGCCGCGTTTCATCTACAAAATGCAGTTAATCCACTTAACAATATATTTCTGAAGTGCTTTATGATGTCTGAACGATGCGTGTAAGGCATTATTTCAAAAGCAAGGATTATTATTATTAATATGAAAACATTGAATGGTTGTCTTCAGATAAAAAAATCGATACGCTTTAACTGTTTATTGTTTTATAGTGTCTCAAAAAGCTATATCAAGAAGTACAAAGGTACAGGTTATTCAGGAAAGGTGGATGCGCATCTATAAGTCAGGGACACATGGGAGGATAAAATAAATGAGCCAGTGTTACATCATCAATTATGGAATGAAATTCTCTAGTTAGATGTGCTCAACGAGAAAACAACTAGTCTAACATTTTGGGTTTATCTCTCCATGCCCAAATTATTTTACTCCCCAAACGAGCTTCCCAACCTCTCCTCTCAAAGCTAGCGTACAGCCATTTACTATGCGATATTTCACTCTGTATCCATAGCTTACTCCACAATCTTTCTGGAGGTTAGTGAAACTCCCAAACCACTCTTATCATCTCCCTTCCATCTGCTTTGATCTCTCTCTCTTCTTCCTGCATCATCACCTTGGACTGAAAATGTGAGTTCAAAGACAATACAAAATCAACTCTGCCTCCCCAGTCTCCTATTTCCCCCTCTCTGCTAATATGGTACATTTGTGCATGCAGTGTTTAACTTTAGCTAGATATAGAGGAAATGAGGAAGAAACCGGAGATGTGGCGCCAACGCTCGCTGTCCATCACCGGAAAAAACCTAGTGACAAAGTGTGAGGCCCTCTCGGTGTTACTGTAGTGTGGCCCAGGTCTGGCCTTTGATCAAGACCAACACCACTACAGTCACCAGAACAGTCTTCCAACTGAGCTGGGTGTCCAAGAGGGATCGTATCCGTGGGAACATGATGCACAAAACCCTGGAAAAGGGCTCCATAATGTAGCTGTAATCCTCATGGCCACCTTTGTGTGTAGCTGCGTGGCGCTGTGCCTGGAGCTCCGCTACTCTGGCAACAAATGCCTACATTCTGGGCTTCTACCTGTACCCAATGTTAAGAAGGGTGGGCCTGGCAGAACTGTCTCAAAACGTTCCACAATTGGAGCATACCGAAACACCTATTGAGAAATTCCAGAAGAACGCCATCCCAGACCCCTGCACAATCACCGAGCGGTCTGTGTGACAGGTAGTCGAAACAGTTCGAAAGGGGGAACGGCAGACCCCGTCGCGATGGCCAGCTACGTCTGACAAAACGCCACGTCACCGGCCCTGACCAACAACCATCAGGATATGGCCTGGATGGTGATTAAAGGAACTCCGCCTCAGGGCTTCCATGCACTTTCGAGGTCTGGGCCAGTCAGCACACTACCCTTAGGATGGCTGCAGAGGCGCGGTGACCATGGATCACCTCCTCCTGGATTGTTGTTTCACAAAGGCGGTTTGGAAAAGATGGAATGGATACTATCACGGTTTGTCCCTGGGGACCCACTGTCATGGCAGTTGGTGCTGTACAGCCTCTTCCCGGGCACTCACAGAGAAACCCACATCGAGAGGGCGAAACCTTGGGCAAGTTTCCTTACTCCACACGCCTAATAATAATCCCTCCAAAAACCAAAAACAATAATAAATTGGTCATTTTCAATCCATGACTGTTTGTGGGACATTGCTGTGCGCAATTGGCTGCCGCGTTCGCCCACAAATATACAGTCAATTCACTTTACAGTATATTCTGTGAAGCGCTTTGGGACGTCCTCCCGACGTGAAAAGCGCTATATCAAATGCAAGGATTATTATTATTATTATTGAAGGATCATAAACTCGGTAAAGGAGGCTCTTTGGCTCTCTCGAAATCAGGTGTTCCTCTGGCAGAACTAGGGGCGGAAAGGGCCTGCCTCAGGCTCTCGCACGCTAGAATCAGGGACTATATACTGAGGGACACGCTGAAGCTCAGCTCAACCTTGGCAAAGGCCAGATGGGGCCTGACCCTGGCAGGAAACGCTCCTGCGCAAGCTGCTCAGGGTACACCCACGAGCGCACCCAAAACTATGACTAAAATAAATGTGAGAGTAACCATATAAATGTACAGAAGGTCGCTCGAGATATAAACAAAGAGCGTCCCAAAAATATATGTACGGTAAACTTGTGTGCATACAGTGCATATCAAAGCGCTTTCCGAAAACAGCAAGTGTGCCTTCTCAGGGTGTGTGCAGGTGCACACGTGGATGTAGTGCGCACAGGAGCGACTCCCGACAGTTTTAAAGGAAGTGGCCCAAAAAAAGTGTGCACAACCTGCGTGCGGTGAAGGAATGTAACATAAAGAATGGAATGTTTTTGAGGCAGAAGGGAAAAATGTAACAGAAGATGTTATACGTTGTGTTTGTTTTGGATTTCTGTTGTACCAAATACTATATTTATAAATAAATATATATTCTAAAAAAAACTTTAGCTAACCTCTTCCTCAGTATAGGTGTTAATTCTTTATGTTGCAATAATGCAAGTCAAACAAGTAAAAACTACAGGATTTTAAAACAGCCGAGAGTTTTATTGCTTTAACCTCCATTTTCTGTATGTAAACATTTAGTGTTTATTGGAAAGTGTGGCCACTTGGTGGCAGCAGATCACAACTATTATCTCACTTTATTTAGACCAGGGTGGTCTTCAACCAGCCCGCCAACACTGTTGGACTGTGTGTCTGGAGGCCAAGCTTAGTTTGACCCAGCAGGTAAAACAGCGGTGTGAGGTGCCTTAACATTCAACACAACAGAACCTGTCAATCACATTCAAAACGGTAACAAGAGAGAGACATACAGAGAGAAACAGAGAGATACAGTGAGCACTTGGTTGGCTTTGACCTCCTGTTTGTCCTTCGTCCTCTCAGCTCCACCATCAGCGACCGTACCTTCAGCTACTATGCCCTGAAACTTTGTAACTCTCTCCTTCAACTCCACTGATTTGGGATTATATGGGACGTCCTGCCAACATGAAAGACGCTATACAACTGAAATTTTGTTGTTGTTGTTGCCTTGCCCCTTCCTTCCCCTTTTTCAGATCATGCTAGAAGATATTCCTCTTCGACCGTTGTGTAAAAAGAATTTTATAACTGTAATTTGTGAGACGGATTAATGATCTAATCTGGTTTGAAAGTGTCACTGTTTAACTGTCCATTGCAATATGCAATGTCTTCAAAATACAGTACCGATAGATGTAGACCAACGTTCAACTAATATATTTGAAAACTTTAAAATTATGAGAATAGATGGAAAAGATAAGAAAAAGTTAAAAATTAGAAAAGGGAGGATGAGAATAAAGGATAGAATAGAGAAGAAAATAAAACCAAAACCCACTGGAAATATTTTAAATTTACTGTGTATTCAAAATATTTTAGGTTTAATATTATAGAAACAAAGCTATGCTACTTGAGTAGTTTTTTATTGTAATACTAGGTGTACCCGTTGCAGCTATGCTAGCAACCAAAGGATCCAATATGGAATGGTACCACTCACAAACCATTTAACATACCATAAACACCTTGTGTACACCTAAAGCAAAACGATTGTAGATACTTCATAATTTTTTATGCTCATTTTTAGAGCTGGCATGTTCAGTGATACCACTCACACATCATTTTACATGGTTTGGAGTCCTGTAGCTCAGTGGTTAGAGCACTTGCCTTGCAAGTGAGAGACCTGGGTTTGATTCCTGGCAGGGTGAAATCTTGGGCAATTTTCCTTACTCCACATGCTTGATAATAATCCCTCAAGAAAAAAACCCAATAACAATTCGGTCACTCAATCCATGACTGTTTGTGGGACACTGCTGTGCACAATTGGTTTCCGCGTTTCACCCACAAATATCCAGTCAATTCACTTTAAAGGATATTCTGTGAAGTGCTTTGAGATGTCTTGAAGACGTGAAACACACTATTATCAAATGCAAGGATTACTATTATTATTACATGTCATAAACCCTGTGTGCACACCTTAAGCGTAACTGCCATACATGTGCGATGATCTCGTTTAGGTATTAGCTCATCAACGATAGGAGATACACCCCAAAAATATGTCCATGACACTCCACCATGCATGACCGTTCCAATGAGGTATAAATCATGTCTCTACGTCAAGCGATTATTATGTTATTGGCTGAGACACACAGACATTAATTTCGCCTTTATTAGTATAGATTATTATATAAAATGATATACCTAAATCAAGCGAGAGGAGGAGGTCTAAACCCCAGCCCGGGTGAGGCCCCAACTCGAGCCCCAGGCTTCACCATCCCTGGCTAGTCGCTGCTAGGGCGTGGCGGAACCCGGAAACCCCACGGCCTTACCGAGCCAACCATTACCCACCACCAAAAAATATGCCCATGTCATTCCCCCATGCAAGACCTTTCTGATAAATCATGTCTCTACATCAATCGGTTATTGAGTTCTTGGCTGACACACACACAAACACACACAGGCAGACATTACATCTTTATTAGCATAAGCAGATTATCAGCATCATCACACAAGCTGCAAAGGCACAGAACTAGGCAATTGCAAAGACCTACCAGCAGTCTAACTTGATGCTTTTATACAATTTATTACAGAGACCGGTGAGCACTGGAAGCACTTTTGAAGCTAGTTTAGAAAATTGAGTGAAAGCTATTTACAGTGTTCCGAGTCTGAGAAGTCTAAAAGAGACTGGAAGTGAAATACTACCTAATCCTATAATCACAAAACCAGATTGGTAATTGATCATAAAATCAATACATTTTGGAAGCTGCTAACCATTATTTTATAATCACATTAATATGTTAAAGCAATCCCTGCAAAAATGGTTGATATCTGTTCTAACCATTCACTGCTCCTGGATCTAGTTCAGATGCAGGTCAAAAAAGGGTGCAAAACTGAAGAGGAGACAACAGAACTGGTGAAATATTGTTAAAAGAAATTCCAACAGGTTGGTCTTAGCATTAATAATTCATTCATCTGTACATGTCATTGTTATTATTTGTATTTATTTCCTATATAAGTACAATATTGCCATTGCAATAATAAGTTTAAATTACTTCTTAATGCTTCAGTATAATGAATTACTTTTGAATTCCGAGGCCCGAATTTCAAGCCCTGAAGTGCAAAGTTTTGGGAAAATTGTACATTTAGTCCCAATTTGGGCGCTGTTTTTCTGTGGTCTCGATGTTTGAAAATATCTTTACTCTCTAAGTTAAAAAGTGGAGAACAACGGAGGCACGTGTAATGTGGGCGTGTGCCTTCTTTGCAGTCACGTTAACCCTTGTGCGCCTATAATTGCACGATGGTACGAGCAACATCTTGCACTCGCATACCACGCCTTTCGCACAGGATAAGAGTCTGACTGAGGATGATGATTCTTCTGACTCGCTCGCCCGTTAGATCCCGCAAGACGCAACGTAAGAGCACTGTCTGGCAAGCATCCCGCAGCTTGTCCAGCTCGAACGGGTCACCCTTCCAGTTAAGCTTAAGTTAAGTTAAGGCTCAGTAGAGCGAGAAGGCGACGTCCACACGTTTCAGCAGCTTAGCCGAAGGAGCGAGTGCGATGGGGCCATTTTCTCAAAACACACCTGGTCACGGTCTGAATATTTAAAAAAAACAGGGTGTACGCATCAGAATGATATTAATCCTTGCACTTGATACGGCGCCTTCATCCAGTCTTCGAGACGCCTCAAAGCGCTTCACGGAATACACCGTAAAAGTGAAGTGACTGTTTAGTTCGTGGGCGAAAAGGCGGCAGCCAATGTGCGCGCAACAGCGTCACACCAACAGTCGTGGGTCGAAGGGGACAGTTTATTAGGATTTTTTTCCCCACCCCCGGAAAAGCGATCCGCCAACCGACTAACAACCGGGTTCCTACTTTAGAGTGAGGAGGAGAAGAAGGAGGAGGAGGCGGCGGCGGCGGCCGCCACCACCGCCGCCGCCGCTTCGGGGTAACGGTTCTCCCGGTGGTGATGGCGGTCGGTTTGAAAGGGCGCGGCGCGTGCGCACTGCTGGCCGCGGGTGGCGGAGGGCAGTGCGCACGCGCTGGGGCACGGGCCTCGCCTGCCTGCACGGGGGGCCGTTGGGTTTGAATCGGCTCTCCAACCAAGGCGGCGGCGGGCGGGCGGGGCGGGCGGGGCGGGGCGGGGAGAAAGCGGGGACTTCCGGCGCCAGCTGTGGGGGTTGATTGACAGGCGGGCGGGCGGGCGAGTGTCAGAGCGGCTGTCGGCGGCGGCGTGTGTGCGTGTGCGTGAGGGAGGGAAGGGAGGGAGGGAGACAGACAGAGGGAGTGCGGGTCATCGCCACTGACAGGACTTCCCGAACAAAACCGCATATGAATCAGACACAGGTAAAAGAGCTTCTTTTACTCTCCTATTTCGATTCCTTCGCCTTTGATTGACGTTCATCACCGTCTCCCCCCCACCCCCCCCCCCCCCATGGCTCTGGATTTTCCTGTCGGTGGGCAGGTGCACCGGGGGGTTCCGTTTCTCTTCAACCGCTCACGTTTGCCTCCACCATCCACCTCTGAGTGTAAGCGGGTCGGTCAGTGATATATTTTTTTAGGCCATTCGGTCAGCCTCGGGGACGTGCGGTGCGGTACAGCACAGCACAGGCAATGCAGCAGCTGCCTTTTTTTAATATATATATATATATATACCTTTTCTTCTTATTCTTCTTCTTCTTCATCCCGACCGTGTGTTTTTTTTTACACACAGCTTGAGTCCCGTTACTTGGGCTTTCCGGTCGTGTTTTATTTTTGAAAACGCTCCCCGTTTTTTTCTCGCACGAGTGCAAAGCCGAAGCCGAAGGAACGGGGGACGGAATCGCAGGCGTTTAAATTAACGTGTTTAAATGTGAGAGGAAAAAAAAAACGTGGTGTGTGTCCGTTGTACCGTATACGTTTTCCAAAGCGGCATCATAACACGCTGCGGGTTAGAGGAGAAGAGTTTGCGGGCATTTTTGTTCCACTGATTTATATTATTATTATTATTATTATTATTATCCCGTTATTGTCCTCTCACGTCGCATGTGACAGACTTCTGTGGTCTTCTGCAGTGTATTCAGATATACTTAGTTATTTTCGTAGGCCCCTTTTTTTTTTAAACTTCACTGATTCCGTTAGAAGCGGAAACTATTTTTATTTGGTGTTACGGTGGGAACTTTACTCTGGAATACCAACGCATGACTGACTCTGTGGGGCCGCTATTAAGAGATTTATATTGACATTAAAGGCTTAAAACGTCATCTTTTTTTCAAAAAAAAATCTTCGGTGACTCGAAACCGAACTGTTCAATGTTTCCATGACACAAAGTGCTGGGATCTACAATTTGATATTACGGCATTTGTTAATGTATGTTACAGGTATTAACTGAATTAGAAGCAGTCGCATGATATTGATGCATCAGTCTTTGAAGTTTGTTTGAGGATACAGTGAATTTGCACAATCTGGTTATGTGGCAAAAAAAGTCTGAAAAAATATATAATTTCATACAATTTCATACAACCATTGACTTTGGTAATTCAGTGGAAATGCCATGTCCTCAGTAATCCCTACAGTCAAACGCATCACCAGAAGGTGCCAAATCAGACAGAAGCATTCAACCAGAAAGACTTCACAGCACTCTTCTAGAACTGTACCTAAAAGTATTTTTTGATTCAAAATAATAATCTTAATCTTTATCCAACCATCTTCTTTGATTAAATGATGATGCCTATGGCACAGATTTTATGTGTATCCTAAACTAGAATGCTTTGTGGCTGGTGGAGCTGAGAAAATATCTCTGAGAAGCTGGGTATGTTGAGATTGCAAGGACATTTAAACGTTCAGCTATCTAAGATGCAGATAAGCACCATGATCAAACGAGTTCATGCAACAAACAACAACAACAAAATTACATTTGTATAGCGCCTTTCACGTCAGGAGGACGTCCCAAGGCGCTGGACAGACGGACCTGAGCTGAGGGTCGGGGTCGATGCGGGGGGAGGGCAGGGAGATCGAAAGCAAGGTCGACGAGGAGGGTCTTGAAGGTGGCGAGGGAGGGGTGAGATGGAGGGACTGTGGGATGGGCTTCCAGAGGGTGGGTGCAGAGTGTATAGTTTGCTCCTGCAAAATATTTATGCCGGTTTTTCAAATAAGTTTGCCCCTTGAAATTGTTTAAAGGCTTTGCATTATTAACACATATAATATAAAATATATAAACAGAGATATAGAATGAATAATAACTTTCTTGAAATTTGGTCCCTGTGTAAATTGTATACATTATTTGTTATGAATAATGCACGCATTAGCACATCAATGAATACCATTTGCATCTTTGATTGTAATAGTGTTTCTGTTACATAGCACTTCTATTTGCTTTTAGGTGATATATAAAAGTAATACTCTTAGTAGAAAAAATTAAAAATCATTTAGCTGAACCATAATACATGTGAGTAATATGCTACATGTTAAGAGATTTAAAAATCTATATAGTAATATCCTAAATGTTTCCATATAGTATACATAAAAGTTAATTATAATCACAGAGCCAAATCTGTACTGGTGTACTGTTTATCAGTAATTGCTGTAAACCCAAGAGGGTATTTAGCAATTATACTTTACTAGATGTTAGTGTTGAATATCTCAGTATCAAATGTACTTGTTTTGATATGATTTAACAATTAGTTACCCCCAAATATGAATGGAAGAAACATCTGGTGGAAATGAGGTACCAAGATCATTTTTTTTAATGTAGCTTATTTCACAGGTTTAAAATCTGAATTATTTTATGTTCATTTCAAGTCAGATTTATTGTACCTGTTTTATTGTATTGATGGATTCTTCAAGATCTTAGACTAGGTAATTAAAATGTAATCCCCCTCCAACCGGCTTGGTATCATGCTCCGCAACTGTCAAGCACTTTGGGACTCTACTCTGCATGAGTGTTGCTATGTAAATGAAAGTTGTTGTTGTTAAAATATAGCTCTCAACTCCATTATTATAGATATTTTTGGAGTGTTGTGTGAGTATTTGTCAAGCAAGCTGTCTTTGCTTTTGACATAGAGAGGGAGCTGGTGTAAAAATAAGTCATGCATATGATTGGGTATTCAATTCTTTGCAAAATAATCGCAATTTATATCTTAAAAAAGTATTGTAGCTCTCTTTTATTTTAATATCGCTTAAGGAAATTCTGTCTGTCTTCAGATCCCGATTATTGTCCAAGTACCGTGGGGGTTATAAATCATAATAAATTATTCTTCTATTGGATATAGTGCCTATAAAGTCAAAATGTCTTAAAGCACATCCTAAGGAATTGCTGGAAAGTGAAGTGACTGTATTTGTAGATAATTGAAGCGCATGACCAATGTATCTGGAGGATTTTTTACCAGAACATACGGAGAAACTCCTTTCGCTTTGTGAATAGTGTCAAGGCGTCTTTAAGGTCCACTTGAACAAACAGCTGAGACCCTGTTTTAACTTTGCCTCTGACAATGCATTGCTCTGAGCCCTAGCGTTGTAGGGTTGGACTGGATTGTAATCTCAAAATCCTAAAGTAGGATTTAAACCCACAACTTTCTGACCCAGAGTTAAGAGTGCTGCCAATTGAGCCAAGATGACACATGACAAGAAAAATGTGCCAGACCAAGTGAATCCAGACTGAAATGTACATTTGATAATACAGAGAGGAAGAAGAAACAAATTGGGAGAATTAATAATGATGGTACAAAATCATGACATAATACCACTAACTGAAACATTGCAGTAGCTGAGTCAGGATTGGCAATTAAATACTCCTGGTTCTAAAACTTTCAGGAGGGTTTGGGAGGGGAGAATTGGAACCATTAACAAATCAATATCACTCACGGTGAGAATGCGTGTATGGACTTTGCCTTGGTGGTACCTAGCAAATTCTGATATTATTCTGGCCTTTTCTTGTCAGGAACAAGTATCCAGAGAATTAATTTCATGGGTCTAACAACCTTACCCCTCCTACATGTTTTTAACATAGAAGGAAACCCTTCCACCTTTCCTAACCTTTTTCATGAATATGTTGAATCCTTGAAGTTGTATTCACTTCAATCATCTAGGTTTAGTCATCATGCCTCTGATTGCTGCTTGAAGGCTTAGTTGAGGAAGGGAAGGAGGAGGCGCATGTGGAGCATAAACACCGACATAGTGGGCTGAATGGTCTGTTTCTTGCTATGTGTCTAATGTATATCGTATTTATCAATTGTCTTCAGGGCTTCTACTTCCTTTTTAAATGCTTTTGGCATTTATGTATTTGCATTACATTTGTCTTTTTTTGTTTTTTGCCAGAAGCTACTGACTTGCTGACCATGTAGATTGTACCGGTTGAACTTGTAGACTGACGATTTAGAAATTCAGTCAACATTACTAACTGATTTGTTGTTGCTGTTGATTGCAGTAAGTGCTAATCTAAAAAAAAATCACACCAATGAAGAACATTTAAAGCTTGTGAAAATTTTGTTCTTTTCAGTCTGTGCTAACAGCTTTTTATATTTAGTTTTGAGATGTGTAAAACTGTTCTAATCTCCCTTTTAATGTTTCTCTTTATCTATTTTGGAGCATTTTTATCTAATTTGCTCCTGCTGAACTTGAGTATATACTATTCTTGAGCTACGTGCTCCACAAATATTTTTTGAAGGATGTTCATTTATGTTCAACTGATTTATCTTGAATGTTACTTGGTGGCATAGACTGGAAGTGAGTTATGTTGACTATCCTAGTGGATCAACTACTTCTAGTCCCTAAATAGTATCTTGGTCATTGACAAGAATTAAGTCGAAGAAAACTGATCCTTGTAGGCTTCCTGACGTTAAATCAAGGTCTTGTCAGTCTGTTCAGCTGGAAATTATTCAAAAAGAGAAGCAAGTTTTTGCTAGTGTCCTTACTAACAATTTGTCAAATTATTTGGACATTCCCCTAACTTGCTCTGCACAAAATGGCTGCACGTGACTAATTTCTGTAAATTGCATTGAAACATTTAAATTTGATCAAGCTCTATAAAATACAATAAACTCCTGATAACTTATCTTTCCAAGGGAAAAGGACTCCGTGATGAGTTAGCTGGAGTGGTGAGTTAGGTATAAGTATAAACATATATATATATGTGTGTGTGGCCAGAATATTGGCAGCTTGATGACTTGAGTGATAGTGACACTTTTGCCAGGGTCAAGTTATCAAAGTAAAATCTTTCTTTAGAACAACAATTATGCAGTTGTATAGCAGCATGCACGTAGATGAATGTCTCGATGTATTTTACAAAGTCTAAGGGGGAGCCTGAGCTAGGAGGAAGTAGAAGATATGGGAGAAGGTGGCTGAAATGCAGTTAAAGAAAAAGGTAGGGA